TTTGGCAGATCAGAACCAACCACTTCCTAATCTTAGTCTACCAAGCCAAATTTGTGGACACCTTGTACTTTACTTAGATCACAAATTTTGATGCAAATTAAGAATAAAATAGAGTTGAAGAGGCCAATGATAATGTAAAGCTTAGTAACAACCTGATGTCATTCAAAGTATTATAATTTTCATTAGGATCATAGCCATACAATTGAAGAGTGCAACCAACTAAAGATGGAGCTTGAAAGCTTAGCTTGTGAATGCATGCTGAACAAGTCCATTTTCAACAAAGGCCAACTTAAATTTGTAAGAGAACAGGGATCTCAATCTCAAGGATCTTAAACTATAAATGACAAGGATGGCATTGGATACCGATAAGCCCTACCACCTATTTTGCCTCTAGCTCAGGTTATACACATAATAGCTAAAGCACTCAAAACTAGCAATTTAAGTTCAAAAGCATAGAAGTTCTGCATCAAAGAAGTCGAACATCAAAGCCAAGCTCAGAAGAGAATTTGACAAATCAGATTGGTGAAATCAACCCATAACTTTCAATTCAACTAATTTCCATGGTGTTGTCACACCTCAAAATGACCCCTTGGTTACTTTAATTATAGTTAATAACTATGTAGTTTAGTGTGTTCTTATTGACATAGGTAATGCACCTGATGTCATGTACTACCATTGTTTCAAGAACCTTAGTATTGACCCAGCTCAACTTTAGATTTATGATGGCCCCATCTATGGTTTCAACAACTAATTAATTCCAGTTGAAGAAGTGATTACACTCATTATGGCATTTGGTGAAGGTTGAAGATATGTTATCCCTTTAGTTTGATTTTTAGGGGTAAAGTTTATCCTTTAATGCCGTGATTGGCTGCCCAACTTTAACCAAAATTCAAGCTATGGTTTCATAATCCCATTTATGCATGAAGTTCTCAACTCCTATGGGTATATGAACATTGAAGGGTAACCAAGAAGTAGCAAGACACTGCTATATAACCTTAGTATCTCGACCTTAGAAAAGTAAATAAGTCAACATCAGGTCAAATCCTCAGATACTTAGTGCTTTGTAAGTGATGGGTATTGAATTGATTGATAACAGACCAAAAGATGAGATCAAAGCCATCTCAGTGGAAAAGGTGCAAATTGATGACAAAGATGCAAGGAAGAAACCGTATGATGTGCTAAAATCACTCTAGCTATTGTATTAGTCACTCCAAGTAATATAATGATGGGAAAAGTGTCGAATCCACGAGGATTGTGATTAACTAAGTACCAAAAATAATTAATCTAGATTTATTTGAGCAATCAAAAAGGAAGAAACTTTAATTAAAAATAATAAAAATAATAACAACTAAAATAAAACTAACCAAGATATGAGATACTAAAGCAATGACTTCACCATAACCAATCAATATAAATTATGCATTAATATGCTTACAAAACCAATTTGTTGAGTGTTATTGCATGTGATGGTAGATTTCCCTTATTTAACTAGCTTTCTCAACTCAAGTTAATTCTTCACTTGTGTTGTTAAATTAGTCATATTTCTATGTAATTTAAAATAAACTAGGAAGCATTAGGTAATGTAGCAACCTTTAGTTTAAGAAGGGGGAGCTCTTAACTCTCTTTTCTTTCTCTACTACATGTGACACTAATTACCTCTTAATCTCATAGTCTAACACATAGTTGATACTATTATTAGTCTAATTTATGTAATTCTTTCTCAAGTTCATGCACAAATCACATAATTAATTAAACGTGATCAAACTTGTGAAGCATAATCAATTTATGTAATTCTTTCTCAAGTTTATGTACAGCAATAAAAACTCATCATATGTATAACTTTAACTAAAAGTATAAAATCATAAAATCTATACTAAATTAATTAAGCTACATTGTAGCCCTAATAAACTAAATTAATTCACAATAAAAGCAATAAAACTTGAAATCATAGTTATAAGCATAAAAATATCAAACAATAGATAAAAATAATCTAAGGAAGAATAAAACTCAATTTGAGAAAGTTGAAATCCTTAATATTCTATTATTAATGAATCATCTATTTGATTTTCAAGGGTACCTAAAAGAGGGTTGCTACCAATCTCCAAAACTCTCCCAATTTTGAACTTAAATGAGGATTTATAGAATTTTAGAAAATCTAATTAGAATAGATGTGGGACCCATACTAAAATAATAAGTAAAGACATAGATTTGTTGAAAATTACATAAGGGGTCGGTACCCTCAACAAGGTGTCGATACTTTTAGTCAAGTATTGAATCAAAACTTCCTGTTGGGTTTTTGGCCTTTAACGAAATTTTTCTTAATGGTAAGATAGTAGTCCTAGTCCTTAACTTTTGAATTTTGTGCAAGTTAATCATGATTTTTTTATCTCTGCAATTTACTCCCAAAAATTATAATGTCTTCCAATTAAGTCCTTTCTTACACAAAAAATGAAAATTATATAAAATTAAGTAAAATCCTATAAAAACTCATTCAAATATCAATAATATCAAGGTAGAAATTCCATATTAATATGTATATAAATTCAGCTCATCAAACTCCCCAAAACTTAAGTTTTACTCATCCTCAAGTAAAATAAAAAATAAAAAACAAAAAAACAAAAACACAAAAAAGAAAAAACCTAACTTACTTTTATAGGAATCATGATTATACTTGGAATGTGCAACAAACCTTTAACCTCTTAAGTCACCCTAGTTAACGAGTTGTGTCTTATAAGGGTTTTCAATAGATCCACCCACAAAATCCTATACATTTGGCCCTTTACCTTACTAGGTTTGTAGGTTTTAGCTTCTCACCTTATATTATGACACTTTTAGCCCTCACTTTATAATATTTTGTTAGTTTTGTTAGCTAACTATTAGCTCTGTTAGCTGAAAATAGGTTTTTACTAGTTAACAGCCAGCTAATAGATTTAACAGTCATCTAACAAAATAATTTTATTAACTGACTGTTAACTCTAGTAGCTAAAAATATGTTTTTGCTAGTTAACAATTAGCTAATAGTTAGTTAATAGAATTAATAGTGAACTAACAGAACTAAAAAAATGTTATAAGTGAGGGCTATTTTCCTTAATTCTAATAGGTGAAGGGCTAAAAGTGTCATAGTATAAGGTGAGTGATTAAAACCAACAAATCTAGTAAGGTAAAGGACTAAAAATATGCTTCTACCCAAAATCCTAAGGCAAGAATGCAACTACATGATATCCATGCAAAGAAAAATTAGGAATTAAAGTTTAATTAAATGCAAAGTTTCAAATATTTAAGAGTTTTCATACACACTTAAAGTCAAATGCTCCATTCTATTCTTCACACCACTTCTTAAAAGATTTAGCCCATGAGCACTTTGTGTGTGTGTGAAAATTCCTAATAAGAAGTTTCAAGTTTAGATCTTCACACTTTAGCACTTAATAATTTTTTTTTTTTTGGCTTTTTCTCCCTTGTTTTTTTTTTGGTATTAGTTCCTTTAGACTTTTTAAGTTACCTGTGTAACAAGTTTTCTATCAATGACTCCCAAATCAATTAGCTTTAGGGCATTAGGTAAAGAGGCACCCCTAAGAACATACTTACTCAAATAGCAAAGCCTCCATGAAACATTTGACTTTTTTTTTTCTTTTCTTTTTTTAAAGAGATGCTCAATTCATCACTTTTCATGTAAATAATGATGCTTGAACTAGGCACCACCACTCAATTACTTCATGATTTATTAAAGAATCTTTTATTTATTTCTTTTCTTTTTTCAGTTTTTCTCTCTCTTTTTTTATTTTCATTTTTTTGTGCTTTTTATGTGCAACATTTTTTTTTATCATTGCAAAATACTTTATTAGTGAGGTACAAGGGGTACCTAAAACCCGTTACATCAAGAAGTATTAATACATCAACCTCAATCCTCAAAATGTATATAGTACAAGCAAAATTCACTCCCTAGTCTAGGAGATAGTTGCTATGTAGTCTACAGGATTATATTCCCATTCATAACATGAATATAAAAAGTTTAGAAAGAAGACTTACTAGCTTTTTATGTGCTACTAAGTCTTCATTCTAAACTTCCCACCATAAACTTATGCTCAAGTAGAATAGAATACTTGATGGGAATCAAGATGACCCACATGTACCACGTTAAGAGATCCATTACACATTCCAAGAGGTCCAGTCGTGAGAGCTAGAGCTAGGAAGATACGAGAAGCTTTAAATGGCCTCATTGAGTAGATCTGGGTTGATAACAACATGCAACAATTAAATCGAAGTTTGGATGATTATCAAGGCATGGTAACATCATTTAGGTTCAAGAGAAGCTTAATTGAGGTCATTTATGTTAAATTACACAATTTGCGTCAAAATCGCACAATTCTGTCGCAATTTGTAACAAACTAATATTTCATGTTATTTTAGGTTAGTTTTAGAGATTTTCACATTTTTTGTATTATTTTGGGCTAAACATTCATTTATTTGAGGCCGAATTCATGGTTATTAGGATTAGGGTTTAGGGTATTAGTTTCCTATTCTGATTAGAATTACTTTTCCCTATTTAAAGGGCTTGTAACCCTAATTGGGGGGAGCTATTGAATCTAAGTTTTTGAGAGACTTTTCTCTTTGGTTCATTTTAGAACTTTACAGAACTTATTAAGATTATTCTTGTGGCGTTCTAACCTGACTTATCATTTTCATTCTTAATCGTTCGAGGGTGTAGCATCAACTAACTTTATACCTCTAGTTCTTATTGCATCATAGACAACGGGTCAACGTTTTTACCTTGGTTCTTGTTGAGACATAAACAACGGACCAAGGTCCTATTATAAACCTAATTTAGCTTTCCTGGAGTTTAGAAATCCCTTGTCGTGCTATAGGTCTCATTCTTCTTTTTGGGATTGTCACGCCCCAGAACCCAAATCCGAGGCACAACAGACGCCGTGCACTTGTGAGATGGGTCCCACAAATGCACAAGGCTCGGAACTTAATCATATCGTACTCTGATACCATCAAAATCTGAAGATCAAATTTTATAATTTGCTCTGATACCATAACATCTCCAAATACACTCTAGCTTACAAGATCATGATTTATTTCTAAAATCTATATCAATCTCGAAATGGCTAGCTTTCTAACTCGTCACTTCTCGTGGTTTCCACGTCCTTGGTTTCACTTCCTGAAATGGTGGACAAGGAAAAACTATGAGATAAACTCAGTAAGTAAATATGGAGTGCCCTTAATTAAACTTATAGCATGCCAACATGTGCAATCACGAAAAACGGATACAATACGAGAACGAAATAGACATCTCCTCTATAGGTCACGGCCAGCGTCTAACACCCACTGGCAGGCGCACTGTTTGCCGATGTATAATCCCCACAAGTAGGGTCACTATTTGCTGGTGTATAATCCCCACAAGCATGGTCACTGTTTGCTGGTGTATAATCCCCACAAGCAGGGTCACTATTTGCTGGTGTATAATCCCCACAAGCAGGGTCACTGTTTGCTGGTGTATAATCCCCACAAGCAGGGTCACTGTTTGCTGGTGTATAATCCCCACAAGCAGGGTCACTGTTTGCTGGTGTATAACCCCCACTAGCAGGGTCACTCACGAACCGGTTCTATCAATAACATATCGACATGTGCTAGCATTTATAACCTCCCCCACTAACAGGGTCACGAATAACATATCGACATGTGCCGACATGTGCTAGCGTTTATAACCTCCCCTACTAGCAAGGGCACTAATAACATGACCACATCGGAGACAAAACAGGCAGAAGTTAACAGGAAAATCACAATTCACAATCACTTTCAGATCATTAGGACAGTCACTTAAATTTCAAGTAAGCATGCTCAATTTAATGAAAAGCATAAAACATTTCACTTCAAATCAGTCATACTTGTGTAAAACGGGTTTAGTCCCGCCACCACTT